CTTGTGATTGGTCTGTTCATATTTTCTATTTCTTCCTGGTTCAGGCTTGGAAGGTTATACCTTTCTAAGAATGTGTCCATTTCTTCCAGGTTCTCCATTTTATTGGCATAGAGTTGCTTGTAGTATTCTCTTAGGATGCTTTGTATTTCTGCGGTGTCCATTGTAACTTCCTAATTTTCATTTGTAATTTTATTGATTTGAGTCCTCTCCCTCTTTTTCACATGAGTCTGGCTAATGGTTTATCAATTTTGTTTATCTTCTCAAAGAACTAGCTTTTAGTTTTATTGATCTTTGCTATTATTTTCTTTGTTTCTATTTCATTCATTTCTGCTCTGATCTTTATGATTTCTTTCCTTCTACTAATTTTGGGTTTTGTTTGTTCTTCTTTCTCTAGTTCCTTTAGGTGTAAGGTTGTATTGTTTATTTGAGATTTTTCTTGTTTCTTGAGGTAGGCTTGTATTGCTATAAGCTTCCCTCTTAGAACTGCTTTTGCTGCATCCCATAGGTTTTGTATCGTCGTGTTTTCATTGTCATTTGTCTCTAGGTATTTTTTGATTTCCTCTTTTGTTTCTTCAGTGATCTCTTGGTTATTTAGTAATGTATTGTTTAGCCTCCATGTGTTTGTGTTTTTTACTTTTTTTCCCTGTAATTCATTTCTAATCTCATAGCATTGTGGTCAGAAAAGATGCTTGATATGATTTCACTTTTCTTAAATTTACTGAGGCTTGATTTGTGACGCAAGATGTGTTCTATCCTGGAGAATGTTCCATGCACACCTGAGAAGAAAGTGTGATCTGTTTTTGGATGGAATGTCCTATAAATATCAATTAAATCTATCTGGTCTATTGTGTCATTTAAAGCTTGTGTTTCCTTATTAATTTTCTGTTTGGATGATCTGTCCATTGGTGTAAGTGAGGTGTTAGAGTCCCCCACTATTATTGTGTTCCTGTTGATTTCCTCTTTTACAGCTGTTAGCAGTTGCCTTAGGTATTGAGGTGCTCCCATGTTGGATGCATATATATTTATAATTGTTATATCTTCTCCTTGGATTAATCCCTTGATCATTATGTAGTGTCCTTCCTTGTCTCTTGTAACATTCTTTATTTTAAAGTCTATTTTATCTGATACGAGTATTGCGTACTCCAGCTTTCTTTTGATTTCCATTTGCATGGAATATCTTTTTCCATCCCCTCACTTTCAGTCTGTATGTGTCCCTAGGTCTGAAGTATATCTCTTGTAGACAGCATATATATGGGTCTTGTTTTTGTATTCATTCAGCAAGCCTGTGTCTTTGGTTGGAGCATTTAATCCATTCACGTTTAAGGTAATTATCGATATGTATGTTCCTATGACCATTTTCTTAATTGTTTTGGGTTTGTTTTTGTAGGTCCTTTTCTTCTCCTGTGTTTCCCACTTACAGAAGTTCCTTTAGCTTTTGTTGTAGAGCTGGTTTGGTATTGCCGAATTCTCTTAGCTTTTGCTTGTTTGTAAAGCTTTTGATTTCTCCATCGAATCTGAATGAGATCCTTGCTAGGTAGAGTAATCTTGGTTGTAGGTTTTTCCCTTTCATCACTTTAAGTATGTCATGCCACTCCCTTCTGGCTTGTAGAGTTTCTGCTGAGAAATCAGCTGTTAACCTTATGGGAGTTCCCTTATATGTTATTTGTCGTTTTTCCCTTGCTGCTTTCAATAGTTTTTCTTTTTCTTTAATTTTTGCCAATTTGATTACTATGTGTCTCGGTGTGTTTCTCCTTGGGTTTATCCTGCCTGGGACTCTCTGCGCTTCCTGGACTTGTGTGGCTTTTTCCTTTCCCATGTTAGGGAAGTTTTCAACTATAATCTCTTCAAAGATTTTCTCAGGTCCTTTCTCTCTCTTTTCTCCTTCTGGGACCCCTATAATGCGAATGTTGTTGCTTTTAATGTTGTTCCAGAGGTCTCTTAGGCTGTTTTCATTTCTTTTCATTCTTTTTTCTTTATTATGTTCTGCAGCAGTGAATTCCACCATTCTGTCTTCCAGGTCACTTATCCATTCTTCTGCCTCAGTTATTCTGCTATTGATTCCTTCTAGTGTAGTTTTATTTTCAGTTATTGTATTGTTCATCTCGGTTTGTTTGTTCTTTAATTCTTCTAGGTCTTTGTTAAACATTTCTTGCATCTTCTCAATCTTTGCCTCCATTCTTTTTCCGAGGTCCTGTATCATCTTCATTATCATTATTCTGAATTCTTTTTCTGGAAGGTTGCCTATCTCCACTTCATTTAGTTGTTTTTCTGGGGTTTTATCTTGTTCCTTCATCTAGTATATAGCCGTCTGCATTTTCATCTTGTCTATCTTTCTGTGAATGTGACTTCTGTTCCACAGGCTGCAGGATTCTAGATTTATGTCTTTTTTTAAGAAATTTGTAATTTCCTGGAGGTCAGGACTTCTCCATTACTGAAGGAGATAAAAAGCAAATCTATTAGGAATATAGTGATAGTGGAAAAAATTTTAATTGAATTGAAAGGCTTGTTTTGTTTGGCTCACTTACAGCCATGTTTGCCAACAGTTTTACACCAGTAGTTCCAATGCTACATTTAAATCCAAGGCAAACTGAATCACGAATCTTTGTACCAGAATTTAAAGTACAGGTGGTTTAAAAGTAATCAAATTAAGTATGGGAAAGGAGGCACAAATATTCTGTTCAGAGAATTATTGGTCGTTGGTTCTAGAATGTAGTATTATGGCACATTCAAGAAAAATACTTTCAGATGGTCATTACTTTTGGTGCCTGGCCTCAATTCCTACTTGGCTTAGCTTCATTATTGGTGTCCCACAACTTGGCTGGTAAGTAGGAGAGTTGGAAGCAAGACTGGCTGCCTAGCAAAATGATTTGAATAGCTTCTGATCTTATTTGTCATTTTATCAACTATTTTTTGTACTTTCTATGGTTTTCGTAGAAGTATGAATACCAGAAAAGCCAGACTATTTACAACACTTAAAAATGTGACACTAGTCCTATAATGGCACTGAAGCTACTTGTCATGTGATGAGACTCTATGTTAATTTGTTTTATGATTAGAGTAGGAAGTAGCTGAAGTGACGTGTCCCATCTGTCTATTCCCTTCTTTCTTTTCTCTTACCCCCAAAGAAGATGCTAAAGATTCTTCAGGGAAGAATAAAAAGATTAATTTGAGAATAGATTTATATTCATGTTAAGACAACACTTCTTGGGTTTGCTTATAGGTCCTGTTATTGCCTTGGAGTTCAATGGAGATGGCGCTGTAGAAGGATGTCAACTTATTGTCAATGAGATATTCAGTGGGACCAAGGTACAAGATTTTATTGACTGTATTTCATTCAAACCTTTCCTTTCCTTTCTTTTTCCTTACAATTAAATAGTATTTTCAGCACATCATGATTTTTAGAATTTATGGTAAATAATTGGGAAGTAAGCTTTGGTTTTTCCTTGCCAAACTAAAATTTTAATAGCTTAAAAATTTACAAAGTAAGTATCTACTTATTAAAAACCTTCAATAATACATGTTTCTAAAGTAAAATGTCTCACCAAATGTCTCTTCAAGTTCTTCCTTTTTTAAAAGTAGTGATATGTTGAAAATGTTATATCTCTAAGATTGTATACTTTAGATGGACAATCCTATTGCCCAGTGTTCATTTTCATTTGCTTCAGTAATACTTGATCAAAACTTGAACTTGAGCTATATCTAGAAATCACTACATGTAGGTATTTTCTAGATATGGTTGATGAGGTTGCTGTATCTGAAAATTTCAAACTTAAACAACTTAATATAGCTTAAAAACCAAACATTATAAGAGGACTAAATGAGTATATATAACTGGGTTTTTTTGATAAATATCTGAGAGGAAATTTTTGATTTTGTAGTCTGATTTGGCTTATGGTCCCTTGAATTTGCATAATTCAGAGTACTTTGTCTTTTGTCTCATTTTATCATCACAACAGTACTAAGGGAGAGGGCAAATCAGATTGAATAGAAAAGGAAACAGAGAGAAAATGGTTATATGATTTGGAGTTTTTAGATCTGAATGAGTTAAAGATTATCTAATCCAACTTTCTGATTTTACATATGTGGAAACTGAGCCCAGAGAGGTTTATTAAATTGTTAGCATCATACAACTAGTTTATGATAAAGCTAAATAGAACCCAGGTCTCCTCTAATTTCTGGCTGACATTTATAAAAGCTGTTTTTGAAGGGTTCTATTGAGTACTGCTTTGTTGATGTTTGGAAAATAGTTAATTTAAAATTAGTAATATATCTTTAGCAGCTTTGAAAAAGATAATCTCAAGTTTTCCTTCTCAGCCTATTGAGATTCTTATTTAGAAAATAGAAGAAATTAAGAGTTCTTTAAATAAACCTCTTTATTTGTAGCTTTCATAATATTGACTGTTACATATTTTAAAAACTGAAATTCCAAGTGTAATAAAATACAACTTAAGTATTATGAAAGCAAAGATCTTAATTATATCTTAAGTGCTTTTAAAAAAGCTCAATTACATCATAGCTTTTGAAACTATATTGCATGAATTCTACAGAAAATCCACAAATATTATAAATGATGTACTTGAATTTCTTTTACATAGCAAGCCTGTGACTGTTCTGTGAAGAACGTGGGCTTTGGAATTTGGGGATTACTAGCATGTATTTTTTGTCTCTTTTATGTTTAACATAGATGTTTGTATCAGAAAGCAAGGATGCAGCATCTGGAGATGTAGACAGCTTCTACAACTTTGCTGATATACAAATGGGAATATGAAGTGTGATGTGGAACAAGGACTTGATTTTAAGCCCTTTTCAATTTGTGTATTAGCAATGGTTTTTTTTACTGATGCTAAAATTGTTAAAGTCATTTTTAAAATAAATTTTTGAATACTGCATCATTTACTTGAGTTTCAAAAAGAGTTCATTTTAAATTAAGTAGTTTTAATCAGCTTAAAAAACATTTAACCCAGTTCAGTGAGCTTGTAGGTTTTGTTTCTCTGCATATGATAACTGTTATTAGAAAATAGAAGTGGCTAACAGTTCATGATTTTAGTCCTAATTAAATGTTCTTTCAAATCTCTAATTTACACTTTCCTCAGTACTCCATGATATTTGAGAATATATTCCATTGCTTATTTTCTTTTTTAATTTAGAAGGATTCGTTACTAGCAGATCAGTTAGAATGAACCTATGTGCATTTTTTTCATGTATATACATCCAGTTAAATATTTGCTTCCTAGTTGCATAATATGGCAAATGAAATTTTGTATACAGAGTTGACATAATACTTCGTAAATTAAGATTTTTAAATTAATAGGTATTTGATAACCAGTTTTGCAAGTAACTCTACTAACTGATGTTGGTATAGCTGTTTAAAGACTACTTTGTGAGTAGTATGATTATTTGAATAAATTCCACATTGTTTAGTTTTTGAATACAACTGCTAGATGACTCTTCTGCTTCCTGGTAAGAAAAGGTGTATGCAACACTGAAACTATAGAAGCCCAATCACCAGCAGTTCAAAAAGGTGATCACTGTTTTATCAGCTCTTATGAGCTATTAGAATTAAAACAAAGCCTTGCAACATTTAGGTAAGAAATACTTAAGCATAGTGATAAGCTATGCAGATTATTAAAAAGCTAGATAAATTTGATTTTAATTAGATATCCCACTTCTATCAATCAGTGTTCAAGTATGATAAAATTATTTTGGTTGCTTTAAAACATTATTTTCCAGATCAACCTGACCGTAATAATTTACCATGGGGCAGGGGAGAGCTACTTGTTTAAAAATCCACATTCTTGGACCAATCCTTAGGCAAATCGATTCAGTGCCCAGGGGAAACTCTGTTTTAAGGGGTTTGTTGTAACGTAAGGTAATCAGAAGATCTTGATAGGCTGATCTTGTGAGAAGGGACTGAACCTGCCATCTACACCACACAGAGCAGCTAATCAGAAGTTAGCTTTCATAGGTCTATTTTTAAAAGGAACCTTAAATTTAACTATGTTTTGATAAAACTAAAGCTGAAAATAATCACTTGTAAAAATTCCTCTTATGATTGTTACTAACAATGTATTTTCGTGTTTAAACTGAAAATATTTTTGTGGATATTTTCAGATTCATTTACAACTATTGCATTGAATTGTGTCGATGTTCAGAAATAATACATTAAAAGACTTTTCACTTTAAATTAATAAGTAATATTGACCACCTACCCTGTGCCTCACCTTGTATTAGCATTGTATCATTTCAGTCTTCTACAAGAGCATTCTATTCTACATAACCTATCCTTTAAATCAAAATGAATTCATAAGATACAAATAAAAATCGGTGATGGGTTTAATATAATTTTTATCATAATTTACAAATGAGCTTTGCCAAGTAGTAGTCAGAGGACATTAATTTTTCTCATAGGTAAGCTAAATTAAACATATTCTTACCATAATTACATTATTAAATCCCATTATTCACAGTTTAAAAAAATCACAATACTTTGTTTTTCAAAAATATAATACAATGTTATACAACGCTGTAAATTGAGTTCTTTATTTTACCTATGGTATTTTAGCAAAAACTCAGGAATATTACATATAAGGGAGATGTTAATTTAAAATTTTCCACTAAATTTAGTATCTATTAACCAAAGCCTAAAATTTTATACTCTTCAGTTAGATAAGAGCTTTTACCCAAGTTTAATTTGTGTTTCAGGACAGTTCTTTTGCTTCTGAATGTTTGAAAAGATTTTTTAAAAATAAGTAGTGCTACGGTTGTTGTTTTTATCATTCTAAACCTTGATTGTAATTAGAGTATTCTACATTTCATTTCTGAATAGCTTTTGAATTCATGAAAAAAAGAATTAGCAATGAAAACTTAGTAATTTTATTAAGATATACATGTTTAGACATTATATTAGCTTATTTCTCTTGTGTTAATAGTACTGCTGTTTTTGCTTCTGTATATTTATATCTAGCTTTTGTATGTAATTTATCTAGTGTTTATAAAATGTGATTTGTAATAAATATTGTTAAAATGAAAATGAATTAACACTAATTTTTGAAGAGCACTTCTATAACATATATTTACTCATACGTGTACCAAAATATGATCATGACACAAATTTTTTAATGATAAAAGTAAAATAAATGGTCTAATCTGTCTTATGTTAATGATAAATGAACTGTATGCCATGTTGTGTGTACAAAGCACTCTGGAGAAATGCAAAGGACGTAGAAAACCTGTTTTAATCTAAGGAATTTCCAATATCATGCTCCCTTTGTTAAAAGATATGTTTTGCTATGATTGAATACTTACTAAGATTAGGCATCTTTTTCTTCCATATTTAAGAAAATAGTGAATTGTTTGTGATATACTTTCAGGTTTATACAAATGGACCTTATTTTTGAATTGCTACCAAATTTATCAGCCTTTGTACCCAATTTCTCCCTCTCCCAGCCCATAAATCAGAGAAACTGCAGATTGGTTAGTTTTAAAAATAACATTTATTATCATTATTTCTACGTATAAAGCTTCTACGTGTATATTTAGAGCATTTGGGGGAAAAACAGAACTGTGCAAGATAGTAGCAAAAATTACTTCCTACTTATTGGATAATTCTTGCTGTGCTGAGTTTAAATTTTTTCTCATTTTTATTTTCATTTTATATTTGTGTGAGTTATGATTTTATCTTTTTTTAAAACATCTTTATTGGAGTATAATTGCTTTACAATGGTGTGTTAGTTTCTGCTGTATAACAAAGTGAATCAGAAATACATATACATCTATCCCCATATCTCCTCCCTCTTGCGTCTCCCTCCCACCCTCCCTATCCCACCCCTCTAGGTGGTCACAAAGCACTGTGTTTTTCTCATTTAAAAGGGACATATTTAGGGACTTCCCTGGTAATCCAGTGGTTAAGAGTCCGTGCTCCCAATGCAGGGGCCACGGGTTGGATCCCTGGTCAGGGAACTAAGATCCTGCATGCCGTGTGGTGCAGCCAAATAAATAAATAAATAATAAAAGGGTCATATTTAACTCTGTTTTACATAGGAAGAGAAGATACTGTAATTAAGGTATGATTACTCCTTCAAAATCCATTCTAGAAAATATTTTATCCTTTAAAAGTGTAACACTAAAAAAAGCCACATTTCATTTGAATTTTAGTAATGAAAACTTTTTTTGTGAAAATGGAGTCATTCACTGTTGACTTGGTTTCCTTTTTTGGTCGAGTGTTTGAAGAGGGTGGCAATCGGTCCTACTCAGCTGGGGAGGCAGTAAACCTTTATACTACTTCATCTCTCTCCTTTGACATTTGTGACATTTTGGCTTTTAGTGGCAAACTCCAGCAAGATGTTCAGAAGCAGCATTTTTTTTCCTTTTCTAGTGTTTTGGTGCTTTCCTGGTCAAGGCAGGTTCTTACCTATAAATAGATGTTGAGGGAGCAGGCTCACAGGTAGCAGGGAGCCCCCAGCATCCTTCTCTCGGCTCTGATCCTCCCTCTGGGGTCTGCCTTCCCCATTTCAGTTTAATCTGTCCACTAGTAATTGGACTAATGAAAAGTAACTTGCAAGTGGCGACAAGTAATTAACTGATGTTTGTAAAGTGCCTTGAAATGGTGCTTTATGGATGTTAAGTATTACTGTGCTCAGCAAAGTAGTATGGTGATCTTTTAAAGTAGTTCAGTTGTGAAGCCATACACCCACCTACAAATAGGCAACTGAATAAGAGAAAACACATATAAGAGGCTGTTAAGACTTAAGTGCTGTTCTCTTATTGATTGATGTACTTTCATTTGTCAATTGTAGGTCAGTTTGTTAGGCTCATTAATAGAACCTTTTATATTATTTCACCCTAACTTCTAAACTGAGCATATATTAAGTGATTTTAAAATTTATCCCAGGACTTCCCTGGCTGTCCAGTGGTTAAGACTCCTTGCTTCCACTGCAGGGGGCACGGGTTTGATCCCTGGTCAAGGAACTAAGATCCTGCATGCCGTGTGGTGTGGCCAAAAAAAAAAAAATTATCTCATTAGAGTCATCTAGTTTTAGGACTGTGAAGTGTATGGACATTTTCAATCCCTCATTTTACAGATGATAAATTTGAGAGTCAGAAAATTTAGATGGCCTGTCCAACTCAAACCATAATCACTGAACTATGGTGTAGACCTCTTGACTTTTTCCCTGCAATCACCCAGAGAACAAGGCTCAGCTCATCAGGCTCCTTCTTTACGAAGCCTTTTCTAACTCTCACAAAGGTGCAGCCCCTCTTTGGTGCTTACACAGTCCTCTGTATAGATTTCCTGTAACACTTTATTCTATTTCTTTAGCCATTCCTCCCTTGCTACTCAAAGTGTGGCCTGTAGACCGTCAGCATCAGCATCACCTAGAGTTTGTTAGAGTATCAGGCTCCATTCCAGATCTGTTGAATAAGCCTGTCAACTGAAGAAAAATGTACAGCCTAAAAGTTGCAAGTCATATTTTATTCAGACTCTAATCCAAAAAGATATATGCACCCCTATGTTCATAGCAGCACTATTCGCAATAGCCAAGACGTGGAAACAACCTAAATGTCCATCGACAGATGGATAAAGAAAATGTGGTACATATATACAATGGAATACTACTCAGCTATAAAAAAAGAATGAAATAATGCCAGTTGCAGCAACATGGTGGACCTGGAGGGCATTATGCAAAGTGAAATAAGTCAGACAGAGAAAGACAAATACCATATGATATCACTTATATGTGGAATCCAAAATGTGACACAAATGAACCTCTCTGTGAAACAGAACAGACTCATGGACATAGAGAACAGACTTGTGGTTGTCAAGGGGAGGGGGTTGGGGGAGGGATGGAGTGGGAGGTTGGTGTTAGCAGATGTAAGCTTTTATATATAGAATGGATCAACAACAAGGTCCTACTGTATAGCACAGAGACCTATATTCGGTATCCTATGAAAAACCATAATGGAAAAGAATATTAAAAAAAAAGAATATATATATATGTTTTATTCAGGGACCTTACTGAGAACTATAGCCTGGGAGACAGCCTCTCAGATAGCTCTGAGGAACTGCCCCAAAGAGGTAAGGGAGGAGCCAGGATATATAGGAGCTTGGAAAACAAACATGTAGTCGAACATCAAAAGATTACTGCTAATCACAAAAAGCAGACATCCTAAGTTAATGGTTTTAGTCCTTTTCTATGTATGGGAAGATCCAAGAGTCTGGGCTCATAGAAATCATTCCTTAGATATGCATCTCAACTATCTAGGGCCTGTATCCTGTTTTTCTACATCCTGAATTCCCCCAGGGGGCACCATGGGGCAGGGGGCAGCTGCAGTGGTTGCTGGCTTGATGGTGGACAGCATTGTTTACTGAAATGGCAGGCAACATTTTCTGTCTGCAAGCTTCTACCTTTTAACAAGGTGTTCAGGGGATTCAATATATACATTAAAGTTGGAGAAGCTCTGTCCTAGACTGTTAGTTCTTCAAGCACTAAAATCAAGGCTCAGGAACCTTTATATTCATAGAGAGTAGCTTAGGGTCCAGTAATGTGATCTATATTTAATAAATATTTTTGACTGAATGACATAATCCAGTGCCTCATTCTACTCTATCAGATTTTAGTCTTTTCTGTAATTCCTCTCTTCATGTACTCTCCTTGATTGGCTTTGGAATAAAAACATTCTACAATATTTACTCTCCCCGCCCCCCGTTTTGTGTTGAAATAGTAAACAGGGTCTCTGCCCACTGAGGCTCCTGGAGAGCTTTAAGAACATCAGTGGTATGCATTGGAAACAGAGAAGAGCACAGCATTTTCTGACTTAAATTTTCTTCTGATGTGTTTTTTTATTCAATGAGGAAATGTGTTGCATAAGCCAGAGTGGTGCTTTGTTGATGCTGGGGCTGAGTTAAAGTAAAACAGCAGCCAGCTACTTGCTTTGGGCTTGTGGGGAAAGTTAGTCATTTCGTCCCTCTCAGATGTTATCCTCCCTCTTTATCTCTTGACATCTTTCCACTTGGAGAGTTTAGGGATGAGCTTGGCCATCATCATCAATAGAACATGTGCAGGATTGTCCAGGGAAGTGGGGGAGGAGACTAGTAACCCTGAGTCTCCTTTCTCCTAAAGACCAGCATTATCATAACAGGTAAGTGGTAGACCTGGGGTTTAAATGGCTGTCTGTTAACCACTATTC